CATTTGTGTAAAAACAATAAATAAATACCAGGGACCTTGTCAGGCCATGCCAAAGAAGAATTTGTTGAGGATTTAGTACCCTAATGCAGTGATCACACTTGAATTTGGCTAAACTTTTTAATTGGGTGGTTTGGCTCAATTTAACCAATGTAAATGTAGTTGGCTTATAGCTTTGCAAATGACCTTGGTTCTTTCAGAATGATCCCTGGAGGGGATTGGCTTTTAAGTGAATTGGAAATTTTCAGATATGTTTTAAAGATCTACAGAACAAGCCTTTCCTTTGTTTTAAAGGGGTAAGACTCAGTATATAGAGTGGGATGAAAAGGACTATCTATTATTTCATCTATGCGCACACCTAAATGTGCACCTTGGGGCATAGAAACAAAATAATTCATGTTTTAAAATTTTCTACAAACAATAAGCTATTCCAAACTACAGCCAAAATCTCGACCAAGGAAAAGGGCATAGTAATGATCATGAAATAAATGAAGGTAGAAGTCAAGAGCTATAAGTCTTTTAAACCCTTTAGCACTTAGCTAATGTCTTACTGAGTACATGGCTCCAAATTCTTTTTCTACTCTTTGCCAGCAAATTTTTAGGAATCCCCTGGCAGAAGAGAAGACATTGTTTGCTGCATCTTCCATTCCTATTGAGTTCTTGGGCACTGACTATTTACAGGGACTTTCAACCACCTACTTCACCCATCTGGTATTACTTTTTATTTCTTCTTCTTTACTAAGCTCTGACTCATCTCTGCTCAGACCTTTAGGTTTCCTGAAGGCCTCACTTCCCCAGATGTGGTGCCCTACCCAGGACAACTTGCTGCTGTCCATGAGGAATTTTAGGTCTAGGTCCCCAGTCTTAGAAAATGGGACCATGATTCACTCAATCATCCAAGTCAGAAATGGAGAGGTTTCCCTTGGTGTTTCCTTTGTTCTCATTCCCTACATCTAATCAGTAATGGGATCTTGTCATTTCTAACTCTTTAGGGTCTCCAGCTTTTGCCTTTCCTCCCATCTCTTTATTTCAGTTGCCATTCTTAGCTCATTGTCTCCTTCCTGGACTGTTGGAATTGTCTTCACTCTTCATCCTTAAGGCAGTGGGGAAGACTGAAAAGTTTTAACTGGGAAGAAATTTGCTTACATTTCCTTATCATAAGAATCACAATGAATCGAATAGATGAATTAGAAAGGCTGCTAGAATTGAGGTGGAGAGAAATTCATTACAACACTGTGCTAGAATCTAGATGAAAAATGAGGAGGGGCCACATTAAGTTCAGTCAGAGACAATGAAAGCAGAGGAAGTAGCTATCTGGCAAGTAGAGTAGAGAGAGCATAATAACTGATTAGAATTAGAAGGTGAGAGGGGGAATATTTTAAATAAATGTCTACCAGGTAGAAGTTTAGGAGATTGGGTGCATGGTAGTGTCATTCTGAGAAAGAGGAGATTAAGAATTAAATCTGTGAGAAAATGATAAATTTAATGTTATGTGTTAAGCTCCAGTTTCATGTGGAGAATATCATGTGGGGAGAGAATCTATAAACAGTTTATATATACAAGTCTGGGAATAAGAGAGAAGTGGCCATTGAAGACACAGATTTTGGAGTTATGAGCTTATAGCTTAACACAAGGGAATGTATGACACAAGCTGGACAGAGTGTATAAACAAAGAAAGGATGATGGCAGGCCCTTGGGGGAATACTATCCCTAGAGGGCACACAGAGAAGGGGATGGGGAGGTAGGAGAAAATTCAGGATACTAAGCTGTTATGAAAGCAAAAGAGGAAAGAATTTGACAATTAGATTATGGACATTCTTAAAGAAATCAGTTTCAATGGAATGGCAAAGACAGACATGAAATGCAACTGGTCTGAACAATGAATGAGATCAGAAATTTCAGATAGTGAGTTCAGACTTCTCTGTCCAGAAATTTTACTGTAAAAAAAAAAAAAAAAAGAAGATAAATGGGAAACAGAAATGATAACATGAGAGATCATGGTCTTAGGCCCATTTGCACAAGAGAATAGAAAGGCTTCTGTGATGAGTAATTTTATGTGTCAAATTGATTGAGCCATGGAGTGGGCCCATGTATGTGGTCAAATAATACTCTAGATGTTCTTGTGAGAGTATTTTTATATGAGATTAACATTTAAATAAGTAGACTGAGCAAAGTAGGTTACCCTCCCTAAAGTTGGTGGGCCCTATCCAAACAGTTGAAGGCCTGAATAGAACAAAAAGGCTGACTATCCCTGAGTAAGAGAGAATTTCTCTTTCCTGAATGCCTTTGATCTGAGACATTGACTTTTTCCTGCTTTCATTCTCAAGTGAGACATTGGTTCTTCCTGGGCCTGCTAGCTTTCTGAACTGTTTTAGACGACACCATTGGTTCTCCTGGTTCTCAGGCCTTTGGATTTGGACTGGAACTAGATCTTTGGCTATTCTTGGTTTCTACCTTGCCAATTCACCCTGTTTATCTTAGGACTTGCCATCTCCATAATTACATGAGCCACTTCCTTATAATAAATCATATATATGTTGTCTATATATATGTATATATAAGCTAATATAAATGCTATTGCTTCTGTTTCTATGGTGAACTCTGACTAATACAGCACAGAATGGAAAAAAAAAATAGAAAATAAGGAGGGAAGGGTGAAAGGAAAATGTGGGATGAATAAGGTCCATGAGAGCCTACGTGCTTTGAAAATGTAGGGAGAGGGCGGCTGATTGTTTAGCTGTCTGTAATCTCTGAAAACACTGATGACTCATTCATGTTATGTAATTAGAATTAGGCTTCAGACATTGCTGTCTTGGACTTTCTTGTCTTTCAGAAGCAGGACTTCCTAGCTTGGCTTGTTTTCTTGTTACTTAGGACCGGTTGCTAGCATAAAGTCATACTTAGAAAATTGAACCTTTAATAAGATTACTCAGAGACTTGGCTGCTTTCCTCCTGGCCATTTTGTCTTTATGTAGAAAAAATAAACATCACTTTTCTAAAGTGACATTACACATCACTTTGAAATATGTCCTATAGGCCAGCCCTGAAAACTATTGTGTGAGTGTGTTTTTTTTAATACACATGAAAAAGAAGCTTTTGTTTTAAAATATATATAAAAAAAATTATTTTACTCTAAAAAGCTTCTCTGATACTACCTGCTGAATAAAAACATTCTGTCCAGCTCGTTGTATCTGATCCATTTCTGCCACAGTGATATGATAATGGCAGAAATCACTGGGGTGATTTAAATAATAGGTTTATTGGGCACTTACAATTCATTTTGTTTCTGCTCTATTTCTAATATTAAAGTGACAAAGATGAACCATTTTATTTGTGGATGTAGCAGATGCCATTTGGAATATCTGCCCAGCTCAAAAAGATTCCTCTCGTTGCTCTCCTCACTCAGAGTAGTGGGTTTCCAATTTCAGTTTGGACAACATGATCATGCTTTACTGTTTAACAGCTGCCTGTACTTGAGGTGGGTGCCTGACCCAAGTTCAGAGTCAAAGTCCTTTTTGCACACTCACTGAGTCACTCACACAGTACCCATTCAAGGGTGAACTTGGGACCATGGGTGCATTTCCATCTCTGGTGCCATGAGATATATCCTTTTTCTCACAATGAACAACCTCCTCACCTCCCTTTCTTTCTCAATACCCTTCCAGCCCTACCGCCAGCAAGCTGAGTTGAACTGTATTTTATTACCTGCAGCCAAGAGTCCTAATTTATTCAATTATAATAAAAATATTCCATTCTTGGGTTGTATAATAAAAACAAGCTTAAGAATTTCAATGGTAACAGCCATGGACGGTGCACTAGGGAACACAGTGTTCTAATTAAATAACCACCCCATACTCTCTAACACCTTCTTTATCACAAGAAAGCTTCAGGAACTAGTCGCAACAGGGATTGCCATAGCCTTTCACACTGTTGGTGGAGGCATAGTCAGGGCAATGCTTGTAATAGACAGCTTGTCCAAATGTATCAGGACTACATATGCATATACCCATTGGCCCAGCAAGGGCATTTCCAGAAATTTATGCTACAGCTATATTTGGACAGGTGCAAAAAAGACACAGTGCAAGGTTACTTGGTAAAGCGTTGTTGGTAACAGCAAAATATCAGAAACAACCTAAATTTCTGCTAATATAGAATCGGCCAAATAAATTATGGGATTCCATACAATTGGAGTACTTTGATGCTGTATAAAAAGAATGAATAAGTTATTTATATATGGGAAGATCTTGAGACATAATGGTAAGTGAAAAGAGCAAGGTACTTAACAGTAGGTTTTGTAGGCTATCATTTGGGAGATAACAATATATATATAAGCAAATTTACTCAAATTTGCTTATATATATATTGAAAAAAGCTCTGGAAAGAAAAACAAATAAATTAATTCCAGTAGGTTACTTGTGTGTATAAATTTGTGTATGGCAGAGAGTGGGAGTAGGAACTGGACAGCTTAGAAGATAGGAGTACGAAAGGGACTAACTGTATATCTCTTAAAGTTTTAAACAATGGTATACTGTTTGTATATTGTCAACTATTCAAAAGAAAGGGGAAGGAAGAGGGAGTAAGGGAAGGGAGAGAAGAATTAGGAGGAAGAAGAGAAAGAGAAAGGAAGGGAGCGCTGTGTTCTCAAACATTAAGCTGGATAAGCTCTCGAAATGAAGACTAGATATCAAGGTAACAGCCATAATTTGAGACTTGGCTACTTACTGTATAATATGAAGGCTTAGGAATTTTCTGTCCTGATGGAAATGAAATTTGCTACTGTCACATTTTATGCAGGTCTCAGAGCAATTATGAGTCCAGGAAAAAAAATTCAAATTTCAATATGCACATTTGACTTTGCATCTTTTTATACACACGCATATTCAAGTATATTCATCATGGAGAGGAGAGAGAGAGAGAGAGAGACAGAGACAGAGAGAGAGAGAGAGAACAAGAGAGAGAGAAATCAGTAGCTACCAACAAAAATGATATCTTTGTTTTATCAGAATTTGTCACTCTCATTCCAAAGAAATATCAACCAAACATCACCCCAAAAGCAGAGACTGTCTTTCCAGTTATGAGGTGGCCAGCTCAGGTGCTATCTGTGACTCCCATCAGAGAAGGGGAACGAACCTATCTTCAGAGATATCAGCTCTCAATCTGCCTTCACTGATTCAAGGTACATATCACGCTCATAGAATACTGCTCAAGTTTTCTTCTCCATCACAGACAAAAATCTCACACAGGGGAAGACCTCTTGGAATGTATTCCTTTGGGTTACACACAATCTACATAGACAATGACATAATGACAGCGAACACGGTTCCCAGCACCCCACCTCCCAGAAACAGGAAGATGTGTCAATCCCACAAATGGTAAGCTTATCTTCTCTGAACCTCGGTTCTCGCAGATTCTAGCTTGGTGAGTCAACAGTCTGTCTTCTGAATGGTCTATAGGTCTGGAGCACAAGTATGAACAGGGTTTAGCTTTCTGGAAAGGGTGGGCTTATGGAAGAACAATTAAAGACAACAGCTGTACTAGATCAGGGCCATGGTAGAGGAATTGGCTTTTTCCTGAAGCTGCAGCTCACCAAATAAAAGCTAAAGCCATCAGCAACTATGTTTCGAGTAACGAAAAATTACCACTGAAGTGATGATTCAGAGACACCGAATTCTCTGCACACTGAGTGGGTGAATTGCTGGGGATGTTACATCACAGAGGCTGATTTTACCCAGTGAGGTTTGTAGAGCAGACATACGATTTTACCCAGTGAGGTTTGTAGAGCAGACATATGATTGCGTGCAAACAAGTCACAGGCACAGTTAACAATGTCTTGTGTCTCTTTGCAGGTTTTCTCTTTGGCCTCTCAAGGGAGCTGGGAGAAACTCGTCTGAAACTCAAACCTGCCTCTGCCATTATTTTCCCTTAAACTCGATCTAAACCTCAGGAGATCTTCTGGAGTATTCACTGAATTCTAATGAGAACTGAGCCCTCCAAATATTATTCTTACTATGTTTTGCTAATATTTTTCACTGGAAACACATCATACCAAGATGTTTTGGACCGTTTTACTTCCCAGATTATTTGGAAGCTAAAGGGAGCAAACGTCCTGCTTCTGGGCTGATCCAGATTTTTCATGATCTAGCCAGGGGAGGCAAAGATTCCAGGACAAGCCTTTAGGGAAGGCCAAAGGTTTCTGAAAGTATCTGTGGACAAATAAATGCGATGTTACTGGGCTACCTCCCATAACTGAGCAGATGATAGTGTTTTGTGATTTACCGGCAGGTAGGCTGGCAGTGGCCTGGGTCCTGGCACCTGACACCTGAACTATGTTTTACTAATATTTTAGTAAAAGCTTTTAGAGAAAAGCTTCCAGCCTTTCAAATGCTCCTTGGCTGCAAAGAAGCAGGCAAGATCCAGGGGCATCCATGGGAACTAGATTTTTGGACCTAGTATTACCAATCAGACCTCGGCCCAAGCCTTCAGGATGCGGGAGGAATCCCAGAGTACTTTCAACCTTTCCCGACCCTTTTCTCTGCTCCTCTCCCCTCATCTCCCCTTCCTCAACAGCTCTCCAGAAATCCTAGTATAATGTAGTAGGATGGATTTCAGTGTTTCTCAGGTGAGATCCATAAACCACCTGCATCAAAATCACTTAAAATCTCAATTCACGGGGCCTGCTCTAGAGCCATCTATTGAGTTTTTGCGGTGGCATAGGGGTGGGGAGGTGGGCTGGGGCTGGAAACCTGCATTGTTCACCAAGACCCTCAGGTGATTCTTACATACACTCAAGTTGAAAAGCATTGGTAGAAGGGAAAGGGTCTCAGATTAGCAGCCAAAAAACCAGAGTTCAAATTCATTTACTTCCTGGGTGGTCTTGGGCAAGTTACTATTAACTTCCAGCCTCATTTTCTCATCCATAAAAATGGATACGCTATTTTATAAAACATGAGCATGCTATTTTATAGGAATTATATTTTTTTCTCTTTGAGAATCAAATGGGATAAAACATATGATAAGGCTGGCAAACACTGAGCTCTTGCTAGATATTTGTACCTAACACTCTATTATAGAAAAGGAATGGTGAGCTAACAAAATCTTTGTAGGCCTTGAGATGTATATTTTTTGCAAGTTTTCAAAAGCTCATATAACTCTTTTGGGTGGATACAGAGTGAGGCGACTTAGCTACTAGAGGCCTTCCTACTTACTGAGGCCTTACGAATATACCCAGGAGTGTGAGATATTATGCTATAAGGAAGAAGAGTAATAAAGAGACATGTTTGGAAAAGCAGACACAGGCTAGTATAAAAGTGGGATAGTAAGTCCAACTAAGAGCACACAGTGAAAGTGGTATCTTCTACAGGTGTCTTCCTCAGCAGGGGCTCTAAGTCACCGATTCTCACTGAGGGTGACTATGTCCCCTAGGGGACACTAGGAAATGTCTGGAGATGTTTTTGATTGTCACAACTGGGTGGGGGGTGTTACTGGCATCTAATGGGCAGAGGTCAGGGACACTGCTAAATATCCTATAATATAGAGGACAGCTTCCACAACAGAGAATTATGTGGTTCAAAATGTTAATGGTGCCAAGGTTGAGGAACCCTGCTCTCAGTTAACAGAGAAGGCTGAGTCATGGATGATGGAAGGAGGCCTCCAGGTGGTTAAACATCTCCCGAGTTGTGGTTGTCTACTGTTGTATTGCAAAGTCTCACAGATGAACAACAGGACCCAGAGTCCTGCAAGCTGGCGGGTCACCATTAACCACTTCCCATATCACATGTTCAGCGTAGCCAGTTTCCTACTTGTTTCCACAATGAACCAGTCTGAAAAAGCATTCTTAGACTTTTGGAAAAGCAGAGATGCTGCTCTCTATAGCAGAGAACGAGCCTGCTTTATTCCTAGTAATCGCCTTGTATTTTTATCAAGAGGAAAGAACAGTGAGAAGGAATTGGGAGGCCATGCTGTCCAACAGGGTTTTCCACCCTAAGGAGCCAAGTCCAGGCATATGAAATGGACTGCACAGGCTTAGAGGGACACTATGGTGGGCACTCAGGATTGCCATCAGATCCACATGGTCACCGCTTTATGATAATTCTTTGCCAGTGTCTTGCATCCCTATGTGATTCTCAGCTTCGGTTTGTGGATCTCTCCAGGTGCTTCCAGTTTAGTGTCTTAGTTAATCAGTTTTCTGGCTTTTCTCCCTCCATTCGATTCCCCCTCCATTTGATCCCCTGTCTCGTCTCTTCTTTCCTGGCATGGTTTGTGCTCTGGGGTTATGCCATGATTGCCCCGGGCTCTTCCCATCCAAACTCCCATGTGTGCAGATCTGGATTTCTATTTTTTTCTCAGTACCAAACTCTGATTCCCCAAGATCTCTTCACCATTTTCACACATGCTGCCTTCCTGTGTGTAGGGGCCCAGAGTCATGAGTTTATCTGTGTGGTCACATGGGACTCCATGCCCCCAAAGACCCCATACTGAGTTTAATGCTCTGCTGTCACCATATTAACATTCTTAATAGAATTTTGGACTTGTATTTTGTAAGTGAATTCTGATGGGACAACAGAGCATGCAAAAGAACGGAATAGTTACATACAATATATGCATCTATCCTTTCTTGCTATCTCATTCTCATAGTGTTCACCATGAACACAGAATTCTAGTGGAGTCACAATATGTGGGAATTCACAGAGACTCAAAGTGAATATGAGCTGAGTGTGTTTTGTCTAGGACTGAGGAAGCTGTGGAGGGGAGGGATGCCGACAGCCCCAAGAGGCCACACCTTCCATCTGAACAAAAACTTGCTTCAAACACAGAGAGAATGTCATTTTAAGAACCATGAATGACCAAGGGATCCTTTTGTGTCCTTTCTTACTCATGTTACATCCCTGCACTAGCCCACTACTTGACTTAGGCTGAAAATGATGACAGAGAAGGAAAGAGAAAGATAAGGCAACCCATAGTGCCTTTTCTTTCGATCCTTCCTTACTCACTAGTGAGCCAAAGGTAGAGATTGTGCATAAAATGTGAGTATCAAGAAATTAAAAGCAGTTGAGTTAGTTTAGTACAGCTTTATCACTGTTATGGAAAGAACAAAATATGCAAATTGTATAATTTTGGTGATTAGCATTTGAGTTAAATGCTCTATTTGCATTTCAAAATGGCATCACACAATAGAGATGAAAGATAAAATTCAAGCTCATAATATAACATTTAAATTTTAAATTTTTCTCAGAGTAGCATTAAATAGAAAATAATAATAATAAAAAGCCGTGACAAATAAAGAGAGAGACTGTGGAAGAAAGGAAAAGCTTTTATTTTAGTACCACTGATGGCAACTTTTCCCTGCTTTTAGAAAAAGAGTGCCCATAGTTTTATTTTGCACTGGGCCCTGCATGTATGCTTTTACTCCTTGAAGCGAGAACTGGTGTCTCTTTGTTGTTGGACTATCTTCAGGCTATAGGAATCAATTAGCCTGTGTGCACCGATGTTCCCTGAGACTAGTGCTGAGCAAATGAATTGGGGGGTATAAATACTCCGGCTCCCACATTACCCTTTCAGGATAGCCTTGGAATGTGGCGTAAACCAACTCCAAGTTCCCCTGTGGGGCTAACCCAAGTAACCTTCTACGTGACGTCACTTGGTAGCGTAGCTTTGCTTGCTCCTTTACCTTCATGGTCCCACTTCCTCACTCCTCACAGTTTTTCCTGGGGAGATTACAAAACAACCACTTCCATTCAACTTAAAATGAATTCACCTGTCTGTGGTCTGTCTGTGCCAAGGCCATCGGTTTAATGGTAGATGGTAGATGGTATTAATGGTAGATTGTGATCAGATTCTGGGGTAGGAATACAACACTATAGATATTCCCAAGGGAGTCTTCTATAAATGTTGTGTTTTGAGGTTTATATTGAAACTTTTGATACAAAAATATTTCCATGCAGATCAAAGGGAATTTGGAGAGCACTTTGGACAGAGAGTCGATCATGGGCTACTCTACCACCAAGCAATGTTCTGGGCAGATCTAGGGCAAGCTCTCAGTGCTTGCAAATGTGCTCGATTTACTTAACAAGCCTCCTGATGCCACAACATCCCTGGTTCTGCTTGATTTAGTAGGGGAAAAGAAAAATGAAACTTACAAATATCAGGCTTTGTTTTAGCTTACTAAATTAGTCATAATCTGGTAAGAACTGGACTGGAACCAAAACAAAAGTCATACCATCTTTTTCCACTTGTCTAGGTACGTAGTTACTTTGAGCAATTTTAGAATGCCTTTTTACCTTCTCTGCCTGGAGAACTTTTCTCCATGGTTCAAAACTCAATGCAAATGTCAATGGTCTTTCCCAAGGCACAATATATCCCCGTATAAGTATTTGTGCATATATTTGCCACTCCCTTAGATTATAGGGACTTCAAGTCAGAATCTTTATCTCATTCATTTTTGAAGCCCCACAGCCTTATGCAACACTTGGCACATAATTGATCTCAAAAGCATTTGATTAAATAGCAGTAATGGTGGCTAGCATGAGCCAGGCACTACGCTAAGTACTTTACATGCATTATTGTCTTCCCTCTTCACAACAACACAATATCTCTGAGGTGAGTACTAGAATCCTCATGTTACATTTGTGGAAACTGAGACCAAGGATGGTTAGGTAACTTGCCTGAGATCACGCAGCTTCCAAACAGAAAAACAGAGTCAAACCCAGACTTGCTAGCACCAGAGCCATGGTGTTGTTCATCATGGAGTAAATGAAGTCAGTGGATAGGTATTTCCAAGGCTGTCAGGAAGAGTGCTCATTAGACAGATAGACTTGCCTGTACAACAGCCTCCTAATTAAATATTTTAACAAAGTTCCTTATATTTAAAAAAAGCCATTTTTATTTCCTAACTCTATATGGAATCAATTTTCATTTTAACCAGTTTCTCCCAAGTTCATTGAGCTTTGTTATCAGAAGGTCTTGTTACTCAGGTGCTTAGTTCTGGTGCAAGTTGAAAGATTTAAAGAAACCTAGCACAGTAGCAGAAGTTGGCTCCTCCCAGATCACAATTACAGCTTGCTGTAAGATTCTACCAAAATTGTATTGTGTGTTTACAATACATGAGGAATTCTTGAGAGTGGTACTGATATATCAATTAAAGACAATGGTATTTTTGGTCCCATGGGTCAGACAAGGAAAAGGGTTTTTAGTTTGTTATGAGAAACATTCTTGCTTTTACTTAAATTTTATTGTTCATAAAGGAT